TAAAATTTTAGACACAGATATACGATGTTACATTGAAAATAAGAATCTTCTTGCCCACTGCTGTTTGCCTTTTTCAGACCGTAGGGCATCATGGGGTTAGGTGGGCAGTAGACCAGTCTGGGGTCAGTTGGCCTGGGCTCGAACCCGGCTCTGGCATGTTCTCAGCTGGTGTGCTGGCAGAGAGCTCTGTCTGAGTCTGTTTCCTGCCGTGGATGCGGTCCTGCCCGGTACGCTTATTGTGAGGGTGAATTAATCCAGGTAGCCCAGTGCCAGGCAGAGCACGTGCTCAGTAGTGTAGCTCTTGTGTCCCTTTTCTAAGCCCACCTGGATCACCCAAGAGCCGACCAGCTGCTTCCATAACATCCACCTGCTGCCCAGGTGTCGAGCTTTATAAGTACGCAAATGACCGGGGCCTTCCTCTGCTCAGAATGCCCTCTCCTTCAAACCCAGCTCCACCCCGCCGACGTTAGCCTGCTCTCACCACTCGTGAGCCAGTTCCTGTCCCTTTGTCTCTGCACTTGATGACATCGCCTTCTGCCCCTCCACTGTGCTGCCCAGCATCCTACTCACCTGTCTCCCCACGAGACTAGCTCCTGAAGGTATCACGGGGCCTTCACTCCGAATACCCATGACACACACAGTACCTGTCATCTCTTGGGTGATCCCTGTGATAACTGAATGACTTCTATCTCTGGGGCCCTAGAATACAGTGATCACCTGCCACTAGGCTGTTTGCTTTTTTTTCACTTCAGTTTTGGGGCGGGGGAGCACCATGATCTGAGCGTCTATTCTGTATTTGGGTTTAAACTTTATACTTAGGACTGTTCCTGGGTTTGTATTCCATCGTCAGAACATGCATGTGAAAGCATCTGGAGAGTGGCCTGGGAACAGGTTGGATTTCTGAAAAGTGACACTTTTGCCTGTGGCTTGTTCCCCTGATGAGGGAGGCAGTCCCTCACTCCAGGGTGGTGTTTCTAGCCTGTGAGTGGCACCAGTGGGTGGGACCTGGCACAGCGGGCCGCCCCGCCAACTGCTTGATTGCAGGATTTTATGGAGGCCTGAAAGATGACTGTCTCTCCTCCTCTCCCTCTCCCCAAAGCTATTTTTTCAAAAAGATTTTATTTATTTATTTTGAGAGAGAGAGAGAAAATGCACCTGCGAGAGAGCAGGGCGAGGGGCACAGGGAGAGAGAGAATCTCCAGTGGACTCCCCACTGAGCGCACAGCCCGGTCGGGCTCGATCTCATCACCTTGAGATCATGACCTGAGCTGAATTCAAGAGTCGGACGCTCAACTGAATAGCCGCCCAGGTGCCCCATAGTCATGGCCATTTTTAAGCTGTAAGAAGGGATTACTTAAATCTCACCGATGAGTTTTTTTGACCAGAAAAACTAGGAAACCACATGCCTTTAAGGCAGCTGGCCTTCATTTAACCTTGCATCTCTTCTCCAGGCCCTGAGTCCTACTGCGCCCACAACCGTACACACCCCTGGACTGCTCAGGTTCTTCACCTTCCAAGTCCTCTCTCTCGACTCTGCCACAGTTCCTTAGGCAAATGGCTGTTTTGGGGTTGGCAGAGTGGCTTTGCTTTGCAATGTTCTTTGGAGATCTCTGATGAGTGTTGAAGGAGCAGGTTTCCCTGCGGCCTTGTGGTTGCAGCTTGGTCTTCCTGTGGACAGGTCTTCCTGTTGAAAGCTGCATCTCTAATTCTCCAGGCCCCCTCCCCTCCCCCCCAATCTCAGGAGCTCATTTTCTTTACAATGTCCTGTCTTGTCATCCTTTCTCAAGTATGGAAATGCTTCTCTCCTTTTTACTCTAGGAAAGCTGCTGCAAGTTCTACCCCAGTAGGGTCTGGTTTATGGGGGTGGGGGGGGTGAATCAGGACCCAGTCCCATAAATCTCAAAGGTGTCCATCTGGCCTGGCTTTGGGTGCACATTCCATATGCCTGTCTCTTTGTTTCTCATCCAGCAATTGGAAGGAATGTGCTTGTATATGCCAAAGCAGAAGAGTCCCAGACCTTAGGGGCTTATTAATGCTATTTTTGCGTTTCTTTTCTGTGTGGGTTGAGAGAGAAGAAACTGAAGCTTGCCAGGTGGCACACAGAGGACTCTGAGCTGGTGGTGGAAAAAACCACAGACGCTCCTGAGGTTTATTGGTTTGAAACCCTTCTGGAGCTTTGTTTGCCTTTTCATTTCTGCACGTGCATAGAAGACTTTTCCAAGAAGAAATAGTTACACTCAGAACATATTCATTTATTGCAGAAGCACGGGTGAGAATCTGCTTCAATTTCAGAGATAGTTGAATGAATGAGGTGCTGAGGAGGAAGAGGTCGGAGGGAAGGTGGGCTGGTTTTTCATATTCTTACCAAGACGTATACTGTTCACCAAACCACTGGATGATGAGATCCCACAGGGAGGAGGACGTTGTTAAGTATCTGGAAGGTCACTGTGGAGCAGTGAATCTTCGACGACCGGTGCACCCAGTTGACTCCTTGGCAGCAGAGGCCTGCTTTCCCTGGTTCAGGTTGCTGCCATCTTGGCAGCATGGCTGCTGACTGCTCATTGTGCTCACCACTGTTGACTCACTTCTCGCTGCTCTTTTCTCCACTGCACCACTTCTGTGTACTCTTAGCTTCTACCCACTCGTGGCTTCTGCCTACTCATAGCTTTTGCTTACTCAGGGCTTCTCTCTTCTGCCTTTACTTGGAGTGTCTTTAGGTGACTTTCCATTCCCCATCAAAGAAGATCTGATTGGCAAGTCCGTTACTGCCACCTCTGTTAGGCCTATCATCAGATATGGTCATGGCTTTCCTTAAAAGGGTGAGGCAGAACAAGTTCCAGAGCAAGATGGATTCCTCTTTAGTGCAGTTGGGTTAGATGCCCCTCCTGTGTTGCTTCAATAGATCTGATGTCGTCTTCTTGGTCTAATAGGATAGTGATGATAATGAGGATGGTGATAAATTTTCAATGAATTCTGATTTTGCGCCAAGCACTTAGCATGGTGTTTGGATTTACTTGAATTATTTCCTTCATCCTTATGACATGGGGTACCATTTCACTGATGTGGAAATTGAGACTTAGGCAGGTTTGGTAACTTGCCCAAGATCACAAAGGTAGTAGGTCATGGAACTGGGATTCAGGACGAGATGTCTGTTAAGATGATCTCTTAAAGGCTGTGGATTGATATGCTAAGAGCTAGCTGTCGAAAAGCCAATTTGTGGAATGGCTAATTTGCTGAATATATTTGTTGTTTTTCAACTTTCTAATTGGTTGGTTGGTACTCCTTTTGTCTTTGGAGCAGCACTTTACGTTATGGTCAGTGTGTTTCTGCCTCTGCTGCAGTACCAGCTGTAGACCTGGGGATGCCGATTGAGGGGCATCGGACTGTAGATACAGGAATATGTCGTGTGAATGTGAAGAACTCTTACAAGCCAGTTTTCATTAATATGATCCTACTGATATCAAAGAATATATGTGTGGGAAATCCCCCTATATTCTTGAGCCTGTAGAACTTGAATATATATTTTTCTTGTGACCTGCCATCTTGGTCTCTGGCTTTCCCATTCTGACTCTTTCTCCTTCTCCCCATCTTCATGTCAACCCAAGCAGATGGGGAAAGGAAGAAGTACATGTGGCTAATTGTCCTGCGTTTCATCCATTTACCTTCGTTCCAGTTAGATTCAGCTTCATAGGATGATATTTTCTGACATTATGCACAAAGTCCAGTACCCTTGATGGGTTTGAGCTTCCAGGGCTCTGCCTGCAGGATCCTTGTAGGAGAAGTACAAGCACATACTCATCGGCTGCAAATAGCAGGCTGTGTGTGTGTGCTTCCCACAGAAGCAGCGGTTCCGGGTACAAGGGAGGGTAGGCAAATGACATTTTGTATTTCTTTCTTTCTTTTTTTTTTTCCAAAAAGTTTGAGTTCTAAAAAGTTGATATTTAAGCCCAAGACTGAACATTCATGTTTACGTGGAGAATTGGAGTTTAAATCATGTATGATTTGTCAGTGACGGAGACAAAGCCCCTTCCATCCAGAACTCATTTCATTAACGATGCTGAGGTGATAGCGAGTCAACAAGAAGGAAGACTGTTTACACTGGCTTAATTGCTCCATTGACTGGAAGTATCAGCCAGCTGAGTATAGGGACCATATTAAGTCCAACACTCACCTCTGCTCCTTTTCTGCTCCCCATTGCACCCCCAGAACTTTTTTTCCAGCATAAAGTGTGAACTTCCAGTGTTGGTCATGTGTGTATGTTATGAACCTGTGTATTTGCCCACGAGCAGCACTAAAGGCCTAGTTTATTCAGAGCTGTTGTCAGGTTGTGCAGGATTCCTCAGATACAAACACAGACCCAAATAGAACCCCCTTGTGTGATCAAGGGCAGTGTATTCTAAGGATTTTGGAGTGATTCGCAGAACTCCTCATTAGGTCAGGGATTATAATGCCGACAGGATTTTCCCTCCCTGCCCTTATTTGTTTCTTCCTAAGCCCAGCTTGCTAGTTCTCACTGCGGGTTGACTTTCTCCACATGGTGAAAAACATACTGCATGTGGCTGCAGGTTTGGGCCTTTTTATAACTTCAGCCACAAGAGGGAGATGCCTGTTGTGCATCCTGGTGTCTGAGGAAGGCGGTTCAGACTTCTCAATGGTCACAAGGGCAGTGGGGTCATGTGAGAATTGGCAGCTCCGAGGGGCACATGGAGTGCATTTGGGGGAGCAGGAATCCTTAACAAGAAGGGGAAAGTGCTCTTCCCCAAAGAAGAAGGTGGTGCCCACAGGTTCCCAGAAGACTAGGTGTCTGCTGGTGGTGTTCTTGTGCATTCCTGGGGATTTACCACGGATCGGAACATCTATTTTAAATGCCTTGGCAGACTTAACTGTAATCTTAGAGCTTGTATTTTTTTTCTTCCGGCTTCTTGTCAGCTACAAGCTTTAATGATAATTATTCTTCAGCAGGCATGTTCTAGCACCTCTTACTCATTTGTCACATTGAGCTTAACAAAATTAAAAAGTCCAGTGAGAAGACCCCATCTCTAAGACAACAGAAGGCTGAGCTGTCGGCTCCCCGTCATTTTTGTAATCTGGAATCTCTGCTGCCAGGATTATGTTCAGCTCCTCTGTAATCGCTCTGTGTAGTCGGAAGCAGTAAGACTGTTTGCAGGGGCTCTTGGGAAACATGGCGCAGGTGAAGGAGTGCAGTCTTTTGCTCATGTCCATCTAGGTAAGTAATCCTAATCCCGAGGAAAAGGAAAAACTTGGGGTCTGAAGATTTGATAACGACCTGGGTACATTCTGAATCCATTACAAATAAAGTTCTCAGTAGTCTTTTTCGTGCTTTGCAGAATATTATTTCCCCCCAGCACTCAGTATCTGTCTCGAGCCCTGCCTTTTGCCAGAATTTAGGATTAAAAGGTAGAATCTGCAGGCCAGCTAGGCCCACAAATGATTGTTGTTTCCATGGAAACAGTTGGAGGCCCCTCAATTAAAGCTGCCCCTGTAGGCTGGACAGAGTAAAAGTATGAAAATAAGTTTGTCTGTGAAGCCAAATACTCATCCTCCAAATTAAACCCAGAGAGGACAGATGATCCAGGAATCTACTGACAGTTGAGATCATTTTTTTTTTTTTTTTTTTAAGATTTTATTTGTCAGAGAAAGAAAGCACAAGCAGGGGGCGCGGCAGGCAGAGGAAGAAGCAGGCTCCCCGCTGAGCAGGGAGCCCGATGCGGGACTCGATCCCAGGACCCTGGGATCATGACCTGAGCCGAAGGCAGACGCCTAACAACTGAGCCACCCAGGCACCCCAGAGATCATATTTTTTTGTAGCCTCTTGGGGTGTAGCTCGGTGTTTGAGACCTAGGTGTGTGTGTTGGTTGGCTGACTTGCTTTGCCAGAGTTGCCCAGATAATTGTCTCTTTTATCCATGACCTCTTTGTGTCCAGCCATAGCTCATGGAAGTGTTTGGGAACAGTCTGATCTTTGCTCAGACTTAAGTGTGAGTCACAAAAAGCCCATTAAAAATGGGTGAAATCATAGAATGATCTTAAAGTTGGGAGGAACCTAAAGGTCATTAAGTCCCAATGTCCCATCCAATTTGAGAATCCCTCTTACGGCACAACCACAGAGGCTCACGGCTTTGGCTCTCCTGTGAGCGGAAGCCTTCACTGCTCCATCGCCGGACACCTGCTGCTATCAGAAAGGCCTCTTTGTGATCCAGCCCACATCTCTTCCTGTCACTTCCACCTCTGCTGCCTCTTTTTGGTGGCAAGGAAATGGAGTCTCCTTCTCTCATAATTAAGTTAACTCTTTAAGTTTTAAGAATGTTATCGTGTACCCTCCAACGTCGTCTTTTCCCCCCAGCCGAGCCGGTCCAAACATTCAGACTTTAAGTATTAACACCTGTGTTCACAGGTATTCAAGGGGGGAGGTTGATTTCCTTCCAACATGGACCCTCACCACTGTTGCTTGGATTTTGTGTGACTTCTCTGGCAAATTTTTTCTTAGTATCATCTGTGTAGGTGGAGAATTGGTAACAGATTTTCTGTGTCCCCCCACCCCCACCTCATACCCCTCCCCGGAGTATTCCTAATTCAGAGCTTGGAAATCTAAGAAACAAGACTGGATCAAACCATTGGTCCAAGCAGTCTCATAAAGGGTGTGGTTGCATTTGTGACGTCACCTCAGAAGTTAGTGAATACATCCTACATTCCTGACTGCTTTTCTAATCTCTCAGCCCTTCATCTGTGACTTTATTTAAACCTTTGGCCTTTCCTGTGAGGTTTAAATTGTACATTTTAAGAGTTCTTTATTTCTCATATGTGTTCTATTATTAATATCCTATTAATTGTTTTTAAGTTAATGCCCCCACCCCCCTGCAAAAGAAACAAAAACCCAGCAAACAAAAGATGTTTTTGTCTGAATGATCCTACAACCTTAAAATGAATTAAAACTTAAAACTCCTAAACTCAGGTGTTGATCCATGCTGACTAGGAAGTGCTGGGAAGCAAATAACATGGTTTCCATTTGGTGGGCAGAGAACCCTGAAATAGATATTCTGTTCTAGTTTCAAAAAGTCAATAAATAGCTGTGTGACTTCCAGCAAGTCACCAAGTCTCTCTGGGTTCCATTTCACTTAAAGTATAAAATCAGATAAATACTTTCTGTTCTTTCAGGTTATTGGGAGTGGTTTGAAACAAATGATTTAAGACTTCACAGCAAGCTATACCATGATACTCTGGGATATTTTGAGAGTTCAAAACAAATATAAGAAAATAAAATTGATGATATTGGATATTTAAGACTCCTGTACATTTACAGTTTCAAAGTAACAGTAGTCTGTCTGTATAGGAATGAATAGCAATACGTACCTTGAATTTTAGAGAAAAAAAATCTCATAATTTCTAACATAGGCTCTGGGTGGTATTTGACATAGTATCATGGTTGAGGGAAAAATTATTTTTGTAAAAAAAATAGCATGTTCATAGAGAAATGAAAGCACTCTGGGTTCTTTTGGCAGGAGAATAAAAGGGTGGAAGGCCAGGGAGTAGCTTTGGATTTGTGAATCATTTAAATCTCAGTTCTTAAAAAAACATGGTAAGGAAATACCACTAAGAAGTCAATGTGAGACCCCCATCAGCCAAACCACCCAAGTGGGCTTTGGGAATCTGAGCCTGATAGGGTCTCCTGTGAAGCTCAAGGGTGGATCCTGAGGCATGGTTTTTCCCTGGAAAACTTTCCGGGGCTTGTGACTGGGACTGGCCACTGTGTCAGCCTGCAGCATCAAGCTCTGCCCTTGTTCCCTAAGAAATGCCACAGGCTTGTAGCAGGCACTTGTCTGAGACCTGCATGCCCTGGGCACTGAAAGGTGACTGCTCTTTCTAGGTGTTGGGAAGTGTGTTTTTCTTGCACACTGTTTTTTGCCCATAACCACTTATATTTGGGACATAGAAAACAAAAGTAACATCCACATCTCCATACAGGGTCTGATGATAGTTTCTTGGGGTCATTTCTTTGCTTTATTCAGTTTTGCCAAAAATACAAACCCATCTAGACCTTGCAAAGAAAGTAGGTTTTTCTGGGGGTTTTTAAAATTAATTGATTTATTGACTGATTGATTTGCAGTGTTTCTTGAGTATCGGTCACACCTAATAATCTGATTACCTCTGAAGTTTTTCTTTGCGAGGGGGAAAAGACAATTGTAAAAATCTTTCCATGTTGAAAAACTGCCCCTGCATCCTGGTGCTCCGTTGTGTTTGCTTCTCTGTCCCCAGGGAGTTCTGTCCAACATCTCTTCCATCACCGATCTCGGCGGCTTTGACCCAGTTTGGCTCTTTCTCGTGGTGGGAGGAGTGATGTTCATTTTGGGATTCGCAGGGTGCATTGGAGCACTACGGGAAAACACATTCCTTCTCAAGTTCGTGAGTATCCCCTTCTGCCCGCAGGCCGAGGGACAAGCTGCCGTCCTCCCGCGGGAGGACACCCTATCTGTAGGCGAGGTGGTTCTGCCAAAGGTGCAGTGAAAATGTGGCCCAGCTAATGCTTTCCTTTCAGGAGAACTCTCTAGATCACCGCCCACCTGCCCCTCCATGCTTCCTTAATAATGTAAATACCGTGCCCAACCCATGCCACCCATGGAGATTTTGTACGGATATATCAGGACTTTGCATTCCAGTCCCTCAAATCCCTTTAGACTAAAGTAGGTATATGTATAGTTTTCTTCTTTCAGGTGGTTTTTTCCTCCTCTTTTAAGCACATAGTCAGTAGGGAGCTGTTCATACAGTTGGTTTAGAAAAACCAGACATCAGCCCAGTGGCTGTGGCCTGTTCAGATGAAATCTGTTAAGTAATAGGTTTCGGTGAACATGGAGAAACAGTAAGGGGCACATCTTCCTTCTCTGCCAGTCCAGAGTTTTCCTTTTGTATGATCAGCATAATTTTTAGATGCCTTGCAGGGAGTTGGGTGTGATCACTGTTAGCATGAATATTTTTGGAGGAGGAGTTTTACCAGGGCCAGATAAGTAATAAAAGGAGAGAATGAGAAGTGAAAGCCTTTCCTTTGGAGATTCCTTCCAAAGGAGAATGGAATGGCCTGTGTTTCCATGTGCGTATCCAAAACAGGTTTGGGAAGTATAGCCAAAGGTTAGCTGAATATGCCGGTCCGTCTAGGGCTTGGCATTGTGGCGGGCATCCGTGTCCATGTTCTCTGTACAGCCCCGTCCACTTTCCTTTCCAAAAACGGGGAAGGGATAAAAAAAAAAAAAAAAAACCACCTTCCTGTGGTGAGGAAAGATGGTGGGATTTCTAGATGACGAATTAGTGTTGTACCACCTGTTCCTAGAATCCTGCTCAACATCATCCAGGGACATCTTCATTTAAAACCAGAGCATGTCACCAGTCCCCAAAGCCGGGTGGGGGGTGGGGCATGCTTCTCTTCCCCAGCATTTCTGCCACGTCATCCTCTGGCATTTTTCTTGAATATCCCTAAAGAGTGTGGACTCACCATACCGCCCCCAGGGTAGCCCGTTTCTTCGAATTTGGGCAGCTGTGGTGCAGATGAGGTTTTGGCGAATCTAACCTGAAAAGTCATATGTTTAACCTGCAGGTTTACATGACTCTGTGATCAGGGAGACTGAGGGATACTTGGTCCTCCGTACAATTGAATGAGCAGTTGGCTCTCTGTGTTATACATTGGTCTGTGGTGGGAGCAGCTGGTTTCCCAATACTCCATTGGCCTTAGGCCTTATCTCCCAATTCCCCCTTTTAAACACACACACACAGTTACTTCATTGCCCACCTAATCAAAGACCTGTGGAGTCCCCAGGAGAGCTTTGCCCCTGATCCTCACCTGCCAACCTGCCAGTCTTCTTGGCACGAGATCCTTCTAAATGTATGGGCTCCCCTCACTCAGCTTTTCTATAGCCTCATCGGGCCCCAGATAATACTTAACCGTTTGCCACTATTTTATCAGTTTCAGCCTCCATGCCCCCAAATATGGGATCCCCTTTAATGTGATTTACTTGAATATAGTTCAGTTTATAAGAGTAGTCCCTTTAATATAATTTATTGTATTTGTCGTACAGGCAGAAATAGATCCATGTCTCTAAATCAGCACCTTAATTTATAAAGTTCTGTGTTGGAAATGAAGAAAATTGTATTGTTTCTCAGCTTTTGAAAATCACGGATATTTAAAATGGCTTCTCTATTTAGTACAAACCATGAAAACTGGCCCAGAATATTCTTTGAGCAGGAGCTATGAAATAAGTAGGAAGTGAATGTCAACATGCTTTAACAGCCCCAGAGATCTGATGCTGCAAGGCTAGGAGATTTGCTGAGGGAAAATCTGAGAGCTAAGATAATGTGAAATGGAAATGGAGCTTCCTGGTCGACTGAGGCCCTAAGACGAAGCCTGCGAAATCAGTTTTTGCACCTTTGGAAATGGGGGAAATGAGGTCACCCAGGGCATACAGGTTTCTGCCAAATATTCGATAAGAATTTAATTTGAACTCAATTTTTGATCTGTATATTATATAGCATTAAGAGAAACTTTACCAGGGTAACTGGAAAATGAACTTGCCTAACCTTTATGGTGGCGAGAAAAAAAATCGAATTGAAATCTCGCATGACTTCTGTGGTGGTATTTTGGGTGCACATGCATGTGAGCTAGCTATGATTTTTCTCATTTGTATAGCATGATAACTTTTGTATTTCTGTACCTAATAAAGGGAGGGGAGTTGTTTTATACTGGGGGGTAGGCATTGAGTAAAAGTGATCTTTTTTTCCCCTGTCCTTTTTTCTAGATTGAGGAAATCTTACTTTGAAATTATTGGTACCGCTGATGATAGTTTAAATCCTCTTTCTACTGAATTCACCAAGGAGAGATAACCAGGAGGAGGTCTCTGGAACCTGAAGGGCTGAGCTCTAGAGGGTCTAGAATTAGAGCCCAAACCTTGGAGTCCTAGACTTTGCCAGGCACTTATTTCTTTCTTCCACCCCTCCCCTCATGCCCACCCTCCCAAAATGGCACTTGGTGCGCTAGATAAACACTGGCAGATATATGGAGATCTGATGTGAAATAGCTCCACCCCACTGCCCTCCCCCAAGCCCCACCCCCACAGCACATAAGACCGTGGGGTCTTTGGAGGCAGGATTATATTTTACCCATCCTTGCTTCTGCCAGGCCCACCAAATCCAGGACCTGATCTGTTATGGGTCCTTCAGATGTTTGCTGGAGGAATTAACATCTTCTTGTTTTAATAAGTAACTCTGCAGTCTCCTTTGCACCACTCCTCCAGCACATTTTTCTCTCGCTTGGCTGCTGGATGTCTGCTTGCTGAGCAGAGAGACAGCTTCAGCCCCCTCTGCCTCCTCAGCCACTCGAGTCCTATGGCCTCCATGGGCTCTGCTGTGCACCTGTGGCCCCAGCGTCTCCCTTTCTGTCCTGTCACCAGAAGCTGGCCTGGTCCTTCACAGCCTCATTTCTCATAATCTGTCTCAGCAAAAAAGTTGGGAAGGCGTAAGAGTGTGGGGGTGAGAGGAAGTGGAAGGAACCGTGGGCGTGAGCAGTACGTTGGTATGACTGAGATGAGGCTCTTCTGAGTCTTCAAGATGAAAGGGAGATTTCTCCAGATTTATGGGCAGTCACCACGTTACCTGTGGCCCCCAGCCTTCCTGTGTAAATTCTTGTCCATGTCAGCCAGAAGTCTGCCTTTGGCTGCGGGTTGATGTTATTTAAAATCTTCTGAGACTGGTATTTACAAAGAAGGGTGAGCACAGCTAGTGTTCCTAAGAAAACTTTCAACCCAGTTTTCATGATGGGAAATGATTTTCATGTCCTAGTCACCCCCGCCCCCAACACACACAAACTTCCTCTTTGACCGCTTTGTCTAAGATGAACACATCTGCCCTTTTACCCCATAAAGTAGTTGCAAAGGGGATTTAAAGCAGTGTCTAAATCCAAAAAAAAGGAATGTATTGCATACAGAATCAAGGCCATAGTAACAAATGACAGTCGATCTTAAAGTACTGGGTTAGCTTATCTTTCAACATTACAAGAGCTTACTAGAGGTAGGGGCGGGTCATTGTTCAAGAGTCTGGCGGTGCATGAATCTGGAGACAGTCATTAGGCCTTAATGTGGGTCTAATGAGAAATTCCTTTTATCCATGTTTGCTTATAGGCTTTGTTGTTTAATTACCAAATGGACAACCAGAGCCCTTAAAATGTGATTATGAACCATTTTTAAAAATCTTTTCTTGGAGTGTAATATTCTGTTAATGAATCTTAAGAAACTGAAGATTATCTGCTTTGGACATGTGTAACAACCCAATGTAATTATAAGCCTTTTTAGAAGGGACCATTTATAACTATATATGATCAAAATAGCCCCTTTAACTGTTCTCTTTGTGTCTTTTGTCTTAGTTTTCTGTGTTCCTGGGAATTATTTTCTTCCTGGAGCTCACTGCTGGGGTTCTGGCATTTGTTTTCAAAGACTGGATCAAAGACCAGCTGTATTTCTTTATAAACAACAACATCAGAGCGTACAGAGATGACATTGATTTGCAGAACCTCATAGACTTCACGCAGGAATATGTAAGTTTAAATTTGGTTTATTTTTAAGTTGAAAGCCTTCTCGAGGAATGAACGTTACTCCTGGCTTCTGTCTGCGCCAGCTGGAACCTCCCTCTGACTTTGCCACATGGGTTTTTTTGGTTGGTTTAGTTGTGTATTCATTATTTTCTAACCTGCTTTATGACTTCCATAGGAAATGTCCTATTTTCACTCATCTCAATTTCTACTAAGTCTGAGGGATAAAGAAAACCTCTTGAGCAGCAAGATTATAAGCACACATGATGTTTCCAATTGACATCTGCAGAATTTTGTTTTGCTGTAGGTGTAATGTGTTATGTAGTGTCCAATGTGGATTCTTTCTTGCTCCTTGCCCCCTTTTTGGCCATCCTCCACCCTTCACGGCTCCTAATAATACACTTAGCAATAGAATATTTGTCCACAAAGTTCCTAAAACATACCTATCCAAATATTAGAGCACACGCAGTTCCACGCGACCAAAAGTTGAGCAACTTCTAAGCCCTGGTGCGGCTTCTAACACGTGAAGAATCTGCTCGGCAGAGCCACCTCCCCCGCGCCCCCAGGTTTCCGAACATTACTAGGTAATGTCCCCTGTCATGCAAATGAAGTCGCAGATGCCCCGTTTGACTCAAAATGGAAAATGGTATAAACGGGGTCAGAAATACAGATCTAGTGCCAGACTCTAATTAGCTAAGTGACCGTGGGCTAACGGAACCTTGACCTGTTTCCCCAAATAGTAAAGTAGAAATAATAGCAGCTACTGTTGAACTCATGCGAATATTAGGACACTCTAATAAGATGTACGTGGTTTTATATGAGGCTGAAGGTGTTACTGTCCTTGGGTGTTAAGGTCTTTATTTGCATGCCCTCAGAGATTGGACAGCAGTGTCTGTGACCTAAATGTCTGTGGCAGGACTGGAGGGCAAACAGAAGCCCAGTGGACCAATGGCTGTCTCTTGGTTGGACGGCTTTGCAGAGGGAGCTGGGGGTCCGCTTTGATAAAGGAGGAGATGGCTGCGTCGGCACTTGCCCTATGGGAGACCACGCTCCTTCGTTAGGTACTCAGAAGTGAGCGGAGTTGAGTTGCTTTGGTTCAGTAGCATCCGTGACTGGCCCAGAGTGAGCTGCACCTCAGGTGTGAAATTAAGCCCTGCTCCATCTCCTCAGCAGACCTCACTGTCTTGTTAGGTCATAATGGATGCAGGCTCACACCTTGCCAGGTATTCTTGCTGACTAGTTTGCGTGGCAGATCTGATGAAGCTTTGTAGGCAGACCTCGAGATGCACAAGCCAAGCCCTTGGAGGACCAGATGAGTTGGAAGAACATGCGTATACACGTTCTCTTGAAATGCTGTCTGCTTTATATGGAAATACTGTTATTTCATGTGATTTTGTTTTTCTGTCATGGAGTGTAATGTTGTGAAGTAGCTCTTGGTCCTGAAAGCCTGAACGTGGTCAGGGCTTGATGTTTACTTAACTCAGAGAGTAGAGCTGGTAGGGGAGTGACGAAGGGGCCTCTGGAGCAGCCAGTCCTTGAACCAGGCCCTTTTGAGACTCACTGACTTCAACAGCTGATTTTATATATATTTTAATTAGATGATGGAATTTTTTTAAAGTTGAAAATGTAAATGCATGTTCTTAAAAGTTCAGAGTAGTAACAGATATACAAAAAAAAGTAAGCCTTTAAAACTTTGGCAGGTAATGAGTATGTTCACTATCTTGGTTGTGATGATGGTTTCACAATGTATACATATGTCAAATCTTATAAGATTGTACCCTTTAAATATGTGCAGTTTATTGTATGTCGATTATACCTCGATAAAACGGATTTTTACATAACCATTAAGGCTGCAGAGACCACAATTTTTAAAAAAGTAAGCCTCTAGCTCTCCCACCCACAACCCCCAGTTGCCTCCTTCAGACACTACCATGGTTTAGTGTCTTGTTTACCCTTCTAGAATGTTCCTCCATGCACCCACGCCAAGCAGACCTTGCTTTGCTGTACGACTCCTGCCCTGTCTGCTCTTCCAACACTTAACACTGTGGGTCTCATCAGTCACTTAAATCAGATGCTAGCACATCCTTACAAATCTTGAGCCTTAGTCACCTTGGAAGCTTCGATAGGGCCCCTTTAGGTTTAGCTTGGTTTGATACAAATTCTGAGACAGGAGAGAGGCTTAGAGCTGGCCGAAGCTGGGTGGCGGTCGTTTGGCGGTCGTGAGTGTAGGCGCCTGGTCGCCTCCAGGCCGAGATGTTCTAATTCTCTCCTGTTTGCTCCAGTGGCAGTGCTGTGGGGCTTTTGGAGCTGATGATTGGAACCTAAATATTTACTTCAATTGCACAGATTCCAACGCAAGTCGAGAGCGGTGCGGCGTGCCATTCTCCTGCTGCACTAAAGATCCCGCAGTAAGTGAATGCCCGCAGACTGCAGACGGGGGTGGGGGGGGCGGGGGGCGATGAGATGAGCAGAGTGATTTTTTTTTTTTTTCTTGAAACCTCTTACCTGCGTATTCCTCACTGTAGCTCCTAAAGAGGGCAGAGTGCTCAGATCTTCCCAGTAGGCGTAATCATCGCTGACATGAATTTAGCAGCACACGCTGGTTCTTATTCTCAGCCTTCTTGTGAGTTGGCTCAATAAAATTCAGAACATTCCTACTGGCAGTATCAGCACCATCTTCCCTCTTTGGGTGAAACACAGGCCCATGGAGGTTAAGTACCTTTCCCAAGCTCACATTGCTAGCAAGTGGTGGAGCTGAGCTTTAGACCCAGGAAGCCTGCCTGGAGTGCCTGTTACTCCTTCCTTAGAAGAGGGGCGGGCTTCGGCGAGAGTGCTCTGCATTGCCTGGGGGGGTCAGTGACCCTGTGCTTCCTGACTTGGTTCTGGGGGGAATCTTAGGGGTAGGACAAGAGTCTGAGGCAAGATAGGCCAGTCTACTAGGGAGGAAGCCCGCAGCTGCCTGGGCTCTCGGTTGTAATGATGATAAGTGCTGTTTGCGTTTTATTTAAGAAAAGAAAAGGCATTAAACATGCTCATAACCCTTTCACCGTGGGTTTGGTTGTGTTTTGGGTCACATCATGTGACTGGTATGTAGGGTGACCTAAAATGCTAAGTGCCTTGTTATAAGTTAAAAGCCGGGAGTGAGCATTAGAACAAGTGGGAGACTGCTTCTGCACGTGTCTATTCCACATTCTTCGGTCTCCCAGGCCATCGGTCCATGCAGCCTACCCCAGACCACCCTTCTTGAAATCAAGCGGAGCCCAGTGGGTGCTAATGAGTTCAGTGGCCATTTCCCCATGCAAGGTGGAGCACGTGGGGCTCTTTAAAAGGGGCCATGGTCTCGGTGTGGAGCAGGTAGTTCCCTGAGGGCTTCAGAGGGGTCTCTGGGCTCTTTCAGACGACTGAGAATCAGAAAGGACTGGGCGCCTCTGCTCTGAGACGTTGCCGGAAGCCCACCTCTCCCACTGGCTCATGTCTTGCTTTCCTCTGAGGAGGGCTGACAGGCAGGAGAGTGCCCAGCACGGAGACCTGGGTGTCTACTCAGGTGGCCTTGCCCTGGCCAGCAGGTACAAACTGTTCTGTCTCCCGCTCCTGCCCAGTGTTAACATTCCATCAGAAGAATTATGGAGAGTGTCAGAAGGCATTATGCCTCCCCTTTCAACTACAGATACTCTGGGTATAGATTTCTCATTCCACAAAAGCCAAGCTAATAAAATCCACCCCATACCCTGCACAGGGGGAAAATAAACAAACCTAAAGCAGGAGAACCCATGTTTCTTGATAGGGCCTGTGAGACGTCAGGGTATCTGTCCATGTGATATGTTGTTGGGGCATTGTTTTGTTTTTTTAATTATTAAAGTAATGCATTCTCATTGAAAACCATTTAAATGATACAGGAGTATATAGATTAAAAAGTAGAAGTTCCCCCAAAAGAGCATAAATGAAGATAGTCATTGTCCTCTTTCCCCGTGGTTTTAACTGTGTCTCCGTTTTCTAACCCCTGTAAGCTTCCTGAGGTGGTCAGTAACGCACTTGCTATCCTTATATATTCTGAGCCTCAGTTTTCTTCTTCTGGAAAAGAGGGCATATTTTAATACCTACTTCTGAGGATTGTTATAATAATTACTTTGGATAATGTATCAGAGTGTTTATTTAACCTGGTACCTAGGACATCTGCATGCCCAAGTACTCCTTCGATTAACGACATTTAACCGGACTCTTCTGCTAAGTCTTAGGCGGGTTTCCTGTCTGTTGAGTGATTTTCACCTTTCCGTTTCCTTTCTCTACCAGGAAGATGTCATCAACACTCAGTGTGGCTATGATGCCAGGCAAAAACCAGTAAGTGGAGTCTCATCTTGTCACTTAGCACAAAGGGTGTTGCAGGAGCTTTTGAACTTGCATGGTGATGCTGTGCTCTCCTCTTCCCTTGTGAAGGAAGTTGACCAGCAGATTGTAATCTACACGAAAGGCTGTGTGCCCCAGTTTGAGAAGTGGTTGCAGGACAATTTAACCATCGTGGCTGGTATTTTCATAGGCATTGCATTGCTACAGGTAAGACAAGCCTCCTTGATGGATGTCACAGGGAAATGATGCCCTGGGAGAGCCCTCCCCATGACAGGAGCTCTGCTGAATCACCTTAATGTCACAGTTTTTAAGACACATCAAAGGGCTGGGGAACAGACCTAAGCTATTTGGTTTGTATTTTATTTAAAGCCCTGATTTTAGATGCTACTATCCTGAAATACTTTAGGAAATCTTTTTTTTCCTTTTCATAATGGAGAAATTGATTGGGTCGGCAATTGGCTACTGGCATTCCAGTGTTCCCATGGGCCAAGTAATCACTGCCTTGTGACAGTTGGGGGAGGCAGGGATGGTCAGAAGGAGATCCCAGTGGCAAGACTAAGACTTTTTTAGACAGTCATCCTGTGTCCCTTTCTCTCTCTGGACCACCTTGTCAAAGTGTGAGGGAAGGAAGCACCCACTTTTCCTCCTAAGCAGCCCCAAGAGCTGGGCTTTTTATCTTGGGGATATATAATACTTTTCTTAGAAGGTCATGAATAGGGCACAGTGGTTGAAAGAAATTAAAGAAGACCTAAAGAAATGGAAAGCCATTCCATATTCATAGATCGGAAGACTTAATATTGTTAAGGTGGCAGTACTCCTCAAATTGATCTACAGGTTCAATGCAATCCCTATCAAAATTACAACTGCCTTTTTTTTTTTTTTTTTTTTTTTGCAAAAATGGACAAGGCCCATCCTAAAATTCATGTGGAAATGCAGCGGACCCAGAATAGCAAAACAAACTTGAAAAAGAGCAAAGTTGGAGAACTCACACTTTCCAGTTACAGACTTACTACAAAGCTGCAGTGATCAAGGTAGTACATAAGGTTGAGCATATAGATCAGTGGAATAGGACTGAGAGTCAGAAATAAGGCCTACCCCTAAGGTCAGCTGATTTTTGACAAGGGAACTAAGACCAGTCAATAGGGAAAGAATAGTCTTTTCAACAAATGGCGCTGGACCAACTGGATATCTGTAGGCAAAAGAACGAATTTGGACCCCTACCTCACACCTTATATAAAAAATTAACTCCAAATAGATCAAAGACCTAAACTTAAGAGCTAAAGCTATAAAAAACTCTTCAAAGACTGTGTACATGTAAATCTTTGTGGCCTTGGATTAGGCAGCATTTTCTTACATATGATACCAAGAACACAAGCAACCAAAGGGAGTAGGTAAGTTGGATTTCATCAAAATTGAAACTTCTGTGCTGAAAAGGATACTATTAAGAAAAAGTCCACAAAATGAGAGAAAATATTTGCAAATCATTATGTCTGATAGGGGGTTTGGTGTCTAGAGTATATAAAGAACGACTCAACAATAAAAAGACAAACTCAATTTAAAGATGGCCAAAGAATTTGAATCAGATGTATCTTCAAAGAAAGTACAAATAGCCAATAAGCTCATGAAAAGATGCTCATCATTAGATGTTAGAGCAATTCAAAGCAAAACCACACTTCACACATACTAGGATGGATGTAATTAAAAAGGAAGACAATAACAAATGTTGGCAAGACTGTGGAGAAATGGGAACTCTCATACATTGCTAAAGGGAGTGAAAACCATAGTCACTGTGGAAAAGAATTTGGCGCTTCCTCAGACTTAAATGGAGTTCACACGAGACCCAGCAGTTCCACTCCCAGAAGAATTACAAATCTGTTCACCAAAAAGTTGTACACGGACATTCACAGCAGCACTATTCATAATAGCCAAAAAGTGGAAATAGTGTAAATGTCCATCAGCTGATGAAGGATAAACAAAATGTGGGGTTTTTCCATCTAGTGGAATATTATTCAAGCCACCGAAAGGATTGAACTATTGGTACATGCTACTGTATGGATGAAACTTGAAAACATTTTGCTGTGTGACCCCAAGAGACCACATATTATATGACTCTACTTATATGAAATGTCCAAAATAGGCAAATCCTAGAGATTGAAAGTAGATTAGTGGTTGCCAAGGATGGGGGAACGGGAATGCCTGCTAATGGGTACAGAGTTTCTTTTCAGCATTATGAAATGTTCCGGAATTAGATAGTGTTGATAGTTGCACATCCTTGCACGCATACTACTAAAAATCACTAAAGTATAGACTTGAAAAGGACGTATTTTATAGTATATGAATTATTTGTCAATTTAAAAAATCAGAGATAAGGAAAAGGGGATTCACCGGCCAGGAAGTAGCCTACTGAAGTTGAGTTTCACTGACTCTCTTTTCCTTCCTTTCTCAGATTTTTGGGATCTGCCTGGCTCAGAATTTGGTTAGTGATATTGAAGCTGTCAGGGCTAGCTGGTAGAGCCCCGCATCACTGCTGTAAGACACTGGACAGACCCAGCCTTCCTGACCCTCCAGCGTGCCCAACTGAATCCACGCTGCAATCCCACGTGATGGAACTGCCGAGAACTTGGTTTTGGGCGGGTACAACTGGGAAATGCTGCTCACTGACAGAATTAAAAAGATAACCAGTATGAAAGTTGTTGCGCCGTGAATCTCTACTGTAGCCATGAATTTATGGTTGGTTGGATACTTACCAAAAAAGAAAAAAAGGGAGGGTGAGGGACCCAGATGTACTTGAATCTGTGGAACACACAGTCTTGTTCTCTCCTTCCGTGATCGGAGGGCTGGGAGAGGCGGTTTTTGCTCTTTGTCACACCTTGAAGGGACTTTCTGGTCCGTGGCCTAAAGAAGTGCATCTTTTCTAAAACTCAACCCCTTACCTGGGAGGGCTGTGGTTTTTGTGTTTTTTTGTTTTTGTTTCTGTTTTGGCATCCCTTCACTGTGCATTTCAGGGACCTGTTACAACTATCACCCCAAGAAGAAAACAGCTTGTCTTTGGGTTCAGATGTTGTGATTGCATTCAACAAGTCATGTGGGTGGGCACGCCTGGTCTCTCCTGGAGTGTCTTTTTCAAGAGGAATTGTGTATTCCATGTGCCTGGAGTAAGGGCATTGGAACACTTCACGATGCTGAATTTTAGCAGGACAGATTGTTGTTCTAAGTAGGCCTGAGCTGTATGTATCAGTGAAAATCAAGGAGAACATGAGGTTAATGAAGAGGTATTAATTAATACCCCTCACCTCAGCCCATCAAGTTAGTTGTTGGATTCTTTGGAAACTGGAATATTCTGGGTATTGTTCTGCTTTTTTGTGTGTTTTTGTTTTGGTCTCCCAAAAGTGAGAGCTAGGATACAGTTTCTCTTAAAGTGTTTTTTTACTCCACTTGAATATTAATTTTTTTGGTATACTCTCCCTGCATGATCTGTGAATCCGACTCTACCAGCTCCTTTTCCTGCCAGCTTTCCTACAAGCATTTACAAACGTTACTTGGTCCGCATTTATTTCTTGGGTTCACCGCCGTGAGAGGTGTGGCGTGTCCTCCCTGGCTGGGAAAGGACTGGCCCGCCGAGCCGTTGCAAATGCTTTCATGGACTCAACAATGCCTTTACCCTGTCAGTCTTCGGGGCCTGGTCTGCAGCACCCTCCGCCCCCTTCTCTTGGAATGGAATTGAATCTAATTCTGAAACAGTGTTGACACAATCAGAAAACTTCTGGGTTTGGTTTTTTGTTTTTTTCTCATTCTGGTTTTAGTTTGCTTTTATTTAAAAAAAACAAAAACAAAAGAACAAAAGTGCATGGCCAGAGCTCCTTCTGTTCTCATAGTGCAGACTAACCAGCAGGATGGTAACAAAGCACAAATACTTTGGAAGGAAGCGCATCGATGGGGCAAGTGTTCTGCGACCCAAGGTGGGGGCACCACTTCCAGGTGCTGCCACTCACGCCTGTCCCCACTAATGTAGGGAGGGATGAATTTTGCCCCCAGATTTGAATCCAGCTGGTTTCTACCAGGATGTCCCTCTCCTGGGGAGCAGATATTAGCCTGTGGAATGCTGGGAAAATCACAGGTGTATTTTGTGGTGATGACCCACTTGCCAACACAAAACTGGGCGGCCAGTGAGCATGCTTTATGGAGACTTAGCAAGGTTTTCTATTTTAGCCCCATGTTGCATCACTGCGGCTGATGAACGTGTCAGTCTGCTCAGAGAAGGGACAAAGATTCTTTGAAAATTATCTGCAGAGTGCGGGTGTATGTATGACTGCATGTGTGTTTTTGTGTCTATGGTTAGAGATGTTCGTTCCATATTCCGGCTGTAGGATGATTTTATGTCATCTCTGCCCCCGTGAAGTTGTCATTCTGTCTCCATGTTGTAATGTCATTCCAACATGGAGAAGACTTGAGCCCTGCAGTTGGCACTCTTGTCTCCTTTTTTATTACCTCATTCTCCAGTGAACTCCATCTGACCAGTTGATTCAGAATCAGGCAAGATTCCCTCCCTTTGGCACATCCAGTGAAAGGCCAAACAGCAAGTCCAAGTGAGTTCTAAATTTTAATTAATCACCCTTTATTTTTTACACTTGAGAGTGGTTGTAATTAAGGCTGTCATTAATAAACTGGTTCTACCTTACATGGAGTTATGTCTTTCTTCATTACCTATCTTGGAATCGCAAAATTCTCTAATCCAGTGGTTCTCAGACTTTAGCATGCATCGGAATCAAATGGAGGGCTTGTTGAAACCGATTACTGTGTTTGCCCCATCCCCAGAATTTCTGACTTGGTCTGGGGTGGGGCGTGAGAATGTGCCTTTCTGGACAAGTTCCCAGGTGATGCTGTTGCTATGTGTCTTGGAGGCACAGTTTGAGAAGCATCGCTCTGATCAGTTCTCTAAGGGGGAAAGGAACCTTTGGGGGTTTGGGAGGGAAGGGTCCCTTTGTGCTGCTGGATGCAGATAGAGAGCTGGGTATATCAGAAATCTCTGTCCCTGAGGTCACTGTCTGATGGTCGCGATCACCTGGGGACCATGTAGGATACGGGTGATCCAGCCTTGCCCATCGAGGTTTTGGAGTGGGGGAGCCAGAGCCTATGTTTTTAAGAAGTTCCCATTAAAAAATTTAATACACAGTGAGATTCAGGACCCATTATTTTGGTAATATTCACAACATTTTTTCTAATAATTTCTAGTAGTCCCTGAGAACAAGAATCTTAAAAACCCATTTGAGAAGAGCCAACATAAATGTCCTTTCCTTTTGAATTACCACTGTAGAAAGACTTTATAAAACTATTAAAGACTTTTTTCAAAGATCAAATGAAAACAAAATTTTAAGGTTCATACAGTATTCTCAGACCCAAGAATGTCCCAACACTTGTTTGAGAAACATTTTACCTCATTTCCCTGGATATTTGAGACCAAAATGTTATTTTGACTTTAAAGAAATTGGTCAGCGGCAATTGGAGATAAACAATACCTAGTGAGGTTTCTTAGCTGTGCTATAGAGATTATCTACCTATGTGAGGAAATTGGCCCTCCTTGCTCACAGCAAACCAAGCCAACAAAAATTCCAGCTCAGAAGTAGAAGGATGCTTTGTTGACAAAACTCAAAACTTACAGGAAGTTTCTTCCCTGTTTAGAAAGTAGACTTTGGAGGATGGTTATTAAGTTTCTCTTTATCTCTATTGTTTGGTTACGACAAACATCATTGCCTCCATGATTTAAAAATACCTAATACAGTTTTTAAAAATGAACACGGGAATTAAAGAAGAATTTTGCATCATGAAGCACTTAAAAGAGAAGTCCCTTTACTTTTTTCCTCCTTCTTGCTACAGTCCTCCTCCTCTCAAGGGGATTCTGAACAGTGTCTGTTGGCCTTTTCTTATGGTGCAGAAGGTTTTCTCATTCGCGCCGGTGTGTGCGTGTGCGCGTGTGTGCGTGCACGGCACTTCTGTGGAGTCCATCTCTGTCGGTTTCTGGAAAGCTTGCTTGGACAGGAGCCCTGGGAAGCCAGTGGGCTGAACAATGAGGAGCCAGAGCCCAGTGACCTGGCTGGCCCTCCGCAGCTCCGTCTGTCATTTATTCGGTGAAGCCCTCTTTCTCTAGGGAAATCCTGTTTAGACCTCCAAGGAAGAACCGGAAACCTCTCCATAAACCCTGGCCAGTGGGGGTTCATGGCCGGCTCTCTCCAGGGAGGGCATGGGGCTGCTTCCGGGTGCTGCCCTCTTAGCAGTGAGAGGCCTAGTCTTTGAGAAGGAAAATGCACTGTTGGCCTGGAAACGTACTATTCCTGGCCTTCTGGTGACATGATAAAATCTCTATATGCAACAGATAAGGCAGATGTGTCTGGGCAGGCATAGGGGGCAGAGGAGAGAAGCCATACTCTGAACAAGGACCAAAGCCATCTTTAGTCTTACCTTTGCCTTCTGTCTTTTTTTGGAGGAGTTTGTGACAACGGTGGAGTTTATAAAATTATAGAAGTCCTTGTTTTTAGGACTTCTTTAATCTGGGGAATTAAATACAGCTTCCTTTGGATTGTTCATGCTGAGTAGTTCTCTTATAAGCTTGGCACCCATGACAGGATGCCCGAGTTAGTCCACTCCTGCTATCCATGAACCCAAACCAAAATCCTTGTGACCTGTGATGGCCAGTGCAATTTCCTCCTTTACTTCTAGGAACTCCCGACCAGAGAAAACCTAAAGGAAGAGATTGGTGCATGGGTTTCACACTGTGTAAATATACTCCAAAAAGAAAGCAGCATGCAAAGAAGAAAGTGCGTCCCATGTTGTTGCTTTTCATTGAATGTGTAATTGCGCTGTAGGCAGGAGAAGGCCGCCGTTTCAATCTGGAGCTTATCTTCATGTATTAACTTTTGCAGAGCAAGTGGTTTGACAGGAACGTTTTCGTGGCCTGCCCCCTAGTGGTGACCATGTAAAACGACTTACGGGGGTTGGAATAGTTACTGCGGGAATGAAATCACTATTCAGAGGTACTTGTGCTTTGGAGAAACTTGCGGGTCACATGGCTGTATTTTGTGTGCTTTGGGTGGGTAAGTCTTTCATTCCCTTTACAGACTCCTGGAAATGACATAGCTTGTTTTGGCAAGCGAGAGAGCAGGGTGTTTAGCTCCCTTCACCTGAATCTGTGTCCTGACCTTGCTGCGGGGACTTTATAGGGCCCTGGGGCAGGGTGCATGCAGGGCAAAGCTGGGCCCTGCCTTCCTGCCAAGACTCAGACACAGTTTATAGAGGAGGCGGTGGCTCTCTAAAACTGCTCATCTGCCAGGCAGGCAACTCTCCCGAAGCAATGCACATGACATTTCTTGTATTTTCTCTACAAGCACCTGTGTGGATCACCTGGGGTTTGCTTGGATCTGAGAATCTGCAACTTCGATTTGAAAGAAGACTGGTAGGGTGTTGCGGTGGTCTGGATCACCAGCTGTAACTTGTGTTTGAGGAATTTGTTATGGGTTGAACTGTCTTCCAAAAATTCATATATCGAAGTCCTTACCACATACATACAGCAGAATGTGACCTGCAGCTAGCGTTGTGGCAGATGTCATTAGTTAGGATGAGGTCCTACTGGAGTAGGATGGGTCTTCTGAAAAGGGGAAATTTGGACATGGATCCGCACAGAGGAAGAATGCCGGGTGAGCAGGGAACGCCGAAGACCGCCAGGAAGCCGGCAGAGGCTAGGAGGGAGGCATGGAACGGATGTTCCCTCAGAGCCTCCCGAAGGGACCAATCCTGCCCACACCTTTGGACTTTTACACCCCAGAACTGTGAGACAATTGCTGTGGCTTAAGCCACCGACTTTGTGCTACTTTGTTACCGCAGCCCTCGGAACCAAATACAGAGTTTGACTGCCTCGTGCTGGCTTCCAGGGTAGACGGGGTGGGACTGCTCCGCGGTCTGCTTTCCAGCAGGAGGACAATCAGTGTGCCTGTGCCCCGGGCGGAGCACCTGAACACGGCATGGGGCGTGCTCTGTCTGCTTTAGGCTCCTACGAACTAGTCTCAACGTGTTTTGTGGGACATCTTAAACACAGGGAATGCTTTATTACACTATGATTGAAAATGGTGGTCCTGCAGACTGTGTTTAAGTAAATGATCTTAAATGTAACTTGTTAGGGTGATTAAAGCCTTGTAAATAAAACAGCTATATTTCCATGATGTGTGCTTTCTTGAACTCTTGTTACTTTGTGACGGAATCAGCCCACTGGTTCATGGACACCCTGTTCTAAGATGGTGCCAGGGGGAATGCGTCGTCTATCCCTTGAAGTGACAGGTGGCATTTACTCCAAGTTTCCTATGTTCCAGGCACTGTGCTGTAAGCACTCTGCATACTTTTTTTTTTTTAAGATTTTTTATTTATTCATTTGAGACAGGGAGATAGAGAGAGAGCACATGAGCAAGGGGAGAGGCAGAGGGAGAAGCAGGCTTCCCGCCGAGCAGGGAGCCCGATGCGGGGCTCCATCCCAGGACCCCGGGATCATGACCTGAGCCGAAGGCAGACGCTTAACCATCTGAGCCACCCAGGCACCCTCTGCATACGTTTTTGAGGAGATGTAAACTGGAGGAGAGAAAAACCCCACACGTGGAAAATTTAGACTTCGTCCTGAGTTAAACTGCTCTCTTCCAAGGTGGTCCTGGCCCAGATGGGAAGAAGGAAAACAAGGCAGCGGAAGAAGGCGTCAAGGAGGAAGACAGGCTTGACCGGAGCCCCCAGCCGGGGCAGAGGAAGCCATTCCAGGGCAGGAGGAAGAAGGTGAGTGCTGCTGGGGAGGTGGGGAGGCCCCATTAGTGGGGAGAAGTGCTGATGAGCAGTGAGAAAGTCAAGCACACTGAGTCCTGGAACTGTGGCCCGGTCCCCGGCATGTGCCAGGGCCTCAGAAACCTGCCGAATGAGGGGCGCTGGTAACTGAGGTGATCGGTCTCTACCTCCTTCTGGAGTGAAGAGGTGTCTGAATGAAGAGGAGGAGTTTTGGTAAAGCTGGCCAGTGTCTGCGGGTACAAAACCCCTGGCTTTGGATGAGAATACTTAAGAAATCATTTCAAAAATTTGCCAGAATTGTCTAAGTATTTTGTGGAAAGCAAATAAAAGAGCAGCCACAACCCCATGCCCTCCCATGAAGTCACTGAAACTTCACAAATCAAATGGCCTTAGAGCTCAGCCGGGCAGCAGCAAATGCCTTATTTCCTCCTTGTTTTGGAACCCAACTGTTTGCTCTGTCCAGTGCCACTGTCGCTGTGAGCTTTCTGTGGCCCGGGAGCTGGCAGGGTGAGCACTAACATGTCGCAGCGGGTGAGGGGGGACATTGCCTTGAAGCAGGTGGAGGTGGGAGGTGACAGTCTTGTTCTTTTTCAGGTTGAAGCCAGAGAGCAGTAGTTCTCAGCAATAGATGCACACTAGAATCACCAGGGAACATCAGACAGCATTAAACCAAAACAAAAAACCAACCCAAAACACCACCCTGCAGCCCTGCCCCACTCCCCACTTTTAAGCCCCCCAGGTCATTCCTACCGCACTATCAGGGTTTCTCAAACTTTAATGTTACATGAATCACCTGGGTCACCTGAAATCACCTGGGGCTGATTTAGCAGGTCTCTTGAGTGGGGGGAGGGGGAGTGCCTGCTGGGG